AAGAGAGAGAGAAAGTCCTGATGCTCTCCACTTGAATCACTAGACTGACTTTAATTTCTTGATCCCATTGTTCCCAATCATCAGAATTACTTAGTTTCATTTGTTTTCTTTCTTTTTATTTTTAAAGTTCAGATCTCTAAACCCCACTCTCAGCGATTCTGATTCTAGTATAGAGTAGGAAATCTATATTAAACAAACAAAATCTCTCCAAATGAGTTAAGAGAATTTTAAAAGTTGATGAATAAAGAGTTTTTGAGAAAATTTTTCAAGTTCCAAAAGCTACTAAGAAAATATCTAAAATAGAATACAACTACCAGATGTCAGAGTGAGAGAGGAGGTGATGGTACCAGTTTAACTAAAGTAACTCCACGTGAAATGTGGAAAGTTAATTTAATGTTCAAAGTTGATAATTCTAGAAACAGCAATATAAACAAATTATTTAGAACTGTGGAGGTAACCTTCAGAAGAAATAGAAAAAAAAACTATTTATCAGAGCTATCCTACAGAGATTGCGTTATCTCTTGGTAATGTAAGAGCATAGGAAGGGTGATTCAGGAACATTTGTTTTTCATTATAATCATGTTTACCTTTTTACATTTATCATTTTTTGTAAATACCGTAATCTTCCTAGATGACTCTGATGATCAACCATATTAAGAAATCCCTGAATTAATAAACACTCTTTGTGTTCAAATATGGTGTTCTGTATCCAACTGTAAAGCAACCAGCACATAGAACTTTATCTTACCCACAAGCTTATTATGAGAGCCGGTGTCACCTGCTTGTCGGAAAAAGCAGGGAACTGTACCTGTGTCACGTTCATATTGAGCAACTGAAGTAGTGACCTCAACATAAAATCCTGACTTGGACAAATTGGATTCTAGAAAGGAAGACATTCACTGATCCAATATGTGGATTACGAATAGACACAGATACAAGGAGAAGAGAGAGTGTGAAGGCTATCATATTAAAATGCCCACCTTGAGTTTCCAGAGTACAATATTTATAACCTTTTGAGAATCAATATCTTGATTCTCCTCCAATATTTGTCTAAGCTGATGTTTTCTATAAATCCTAAGAGATGACCTGAGGTAGCCAAATGATCCCTTCAGGACTTTATTGGTGTCTTACGATATTGATTATCTGTTTAGATGTTATACCCAGGAATTGAATTATGTTGAATTTATGAATACGTTTGGGAGACATAATATCCTTACACTATTCAATCTTCTAATCCATGTGTATAGTATGTCTCTTTCCTTATTAAGATTTTTTCTAGTTTCACTCAGAATTATTTAAGTTACAGTGTATAAGCATTGCATATATTTTATTAGACTTATTCCTAGGTGTTTGATGCTAAATTGTTGCTATTTTATGTAACACTATTTTTAAATGATTATTTCATTTGTTGCTTCTTCCAAAAAATTCACAGAAATATCAAATAGATGGAAAACAATATGCTCTGCAAATTCTAATGAAAAATAAATCTTTTGATAATATACTGATATCAGGCAAAAGATGCTTTAGTTAAGACACATTACTAAATATAAGGTGGGTCATTCCATAATGGTAAAGGGTTTAATTCAAGGTTTGAACAACAAAGGGATAAATAGACAAATCAGAAAACAGCAGGAGACATTAACATACCTATCTCAATAGCCATTAGAACAACAGACAAAATAATCACTAAGCATATGGAAAATCTAAACAACATAATTAATGAAGAGGACAGAATTGAAATATATATGTCACAGGACCCTCAAAAATAGATAACATATTTTAAGATGCATTGGAAATATTTATAAAAACTGACCTTAAGCTTTATTTTAATGATATATTAGCAATTTGCAGTAGTTTAGATGTTTCAGAGCATGTTCTTTGACCACAATGAAATTAAGACAGACATTTAAAAACAGAAATAGCTGAAAAAAAATCCCATATTCTAGAAAGTTAATTCTCTTTCACATAATCCACAGGAAAATAAAAAAATAAAACAGAAATTATAAAATATTTTAAAATGAATTATATTCTAAATTTGATATAAGAAAACTTATGAGATGCAGCTAAAATGCAGCTTAGAGAGAAAATTATACCTTACATGTACATATTTGAAAAAATAAATGTTGAAGATATTTATTTAAGCTCTCATTTCAAGAAATTTGGGGAAAAAAAACGGAAAAATCATACCAAAGAATGTATAAGGAATAAAATAATTAAGTTATTAGAAATAATTTAAATGGAAAATAAATGTATAATTCATAAAATCAACATAGCCAGAAGTTAATTTACAAAAATAAATAAATAAATTTGGAAAAATTCTAGAATGAGAGATCAAGACAAAAAGAGAAGAACCATAATTTACTGATTTCAAGAGTGAATAAGCAGAAATTACTGCATAGTTGACAAATATTTTTTAAATGTTAAAGAAATTATGAAAAATCTAATGCAACATATTTGATAATTTTCAAAGTGGATGAACGTGTTGAAATTTCAACCTAGAAAAGCTAAGAAGAAAGATAAAATCTGAATTAGTGATGTCTATTAAATAAATCCGCTACCTTACTAAAATTTCTCACACACAAAGAAAACAAACCACAGATCTAGTTTGCTACACTGGTGAACACGTCCAAATATTTAAGGTAAATTTTGTGCAATTTATTCCAAAAAACCAAATGTTTTTGAGATTTGTAGTGTTGCATGTATTTTTGATTTATTCTCTTTTTAATGCTAAATAGTATTTCATTCTCTCTCTCTCCATATATATATATATATGTACGTATACTACAACTCATTCATCTATTCATCAGTTAGTGAACATACATTTGAGTTGTCTCCAATTTTGTGTTGTTATGCATAAAGCTGCCATACACATTTTTGTACAAGTCTTAGTGTATACAAAAGTCTAAATTTCTTTGGGATAAATATTGAGGGGAAAATTATTGGATTAAGTAGTAAATGTCTATTTAAATTCTTTTTTTTTTTTTAAATTTTTATTTATTTATTTTTCCCCCAAAGCCCCAGTAGATAGTTGTATGTCATAGTTGCACATCCCTCTAGTTGCTGCATGTGGGACGCGGCCTCAGCATGGCCAGAGAAGCGGTGCGTCGGTGCGAGCCCGGGATCCGAACCCGGGCCGCCAGCATCAGAGCGCATGCACTTAACCGCTAAGCTACGGGGCCGGCCCTCTATTTAAATTCTTAAAAAATTGCCAAGCTGTTTTCCAAAGTGGTTTAAAAGTTTTACACCTCCCATCAGCTTTGTACAAGTCCAGGTACTTCTCACCATCACTTGGTGTCGCCAGGGGTTTCTTGGTGGGTTTGTTTTACCTCTTCCAATATAGGCATGTAGAGAGGTCTCATTATGATTTTAATTTTCATTTCCTTGATGACTAGTGATATTGAGTATATTTTCATATGTTTATTGACTATTCATATATTTTTTTGTGTGAGGTATATGTTCAGATATTTTAAACCTTTTAAATTTGCTTGTATTTATTTTAAAAATTGTAAATATTATTTACATATTTGAGAGAAAACCCATTGTCAGATATATGTATTGCTTTGGGCTTACCTTTTCATTTTCTTATTGGTATCTTTTGAAGAGCAGTTTTTAATTTTGATGAAGTACAATTTAACCATTTCTATGGTCAGTTTTTTTGTGTGTGTGTGAAGAAGATCAGCCCTGAGCTAACATCCGATGACAACCCTCCTCCTTTTGTTGAGGAAGATTGGCTCTGAGCTAACATCCGTGGCCATCTTCCTCCACTTTATATGGGATGCTGCCACAGCATGGCTTAACAAGCAGTGCACCAGTGCACGCCTGGGATCCGAACCTGTGGACCTTGGGCTGCCACAGCAGAGCACACGCACTTAACCGCTACGCCACCAGGCCGGCTCCATATATTTCATATATTTTTACAATTAAACTCTATTCCATTTTTTACTTTGGTGTGTAGAATGATTAAATCATCGGTTTGCCATTTAACAGAATAAGGAACCACATTTGTAATTCTATGTTTGCTAATTGTATGCCTCTGCTTTGTACAAAAGATGAAGAAGAAAGGAGGATTGCGATATTAAGATTTCTGTTTCTGTAATTTGAAGTGAGTAATTATAGCATGTTTTCCAATTGATAAAATGTTAATAGGTAATAATGACATCACAGTAATGATCGAACTCACTTTATGATTGATAAATCTCTCTAATTTTATTACAAGTGGGTAACATTAGTTCTCTTTTGCAAATTTGGAAGTCAAGACACAAAGAGTTTGTTTTACTTGTCCAAAGGTATCAGCTAGTAAATGATGGGATCAGAATATGAGCACAGGCAATTTGACTTTAAGGCCTGTCCATTTAACTACTCCTCATACTGCTTCTCTCAAGCAAAGGCAGAAGCACTTGCTCCAGAGACCACAAACCAGCTAACTGTGGGACAATCCACTTGGTAGATTTGCCAATGATTGTTGTAGATGTTGTCTCATCTTAATAATATTCGAACATCTGAAGTTTTATGTAAAAACTCAGATTTCCCAGTATTTATTTTAAAAATTGAAAATTATGAAAATAATAAGTTCTCTGTTCACCCTTTCCAGAAATTAATTGCAGGCAATTAAAGACTACTTACTACCCTTAGTCAGGGCTTGCTCTCCCAAGTTGTCACTCAGCCAGTTTTCCTCATTGACTTTGGCTTCTTTAATATTTAAGTTTGTGAGTCTCAACTCAGAAATATTGGCTTGATGATCATTGAAATGTTCAAAATAGGAAATAGGCACTTAAAAAGTTTGCAATGATTACAAACATGGTTAAACTATATTTATATGGAATATATTTATTATATTTGAAAATAAGGCTTAATAAATATTAAATCCAGATAAATTTTATTTACATAATTTGACCCAGAGTTAAATCATATACACCAAGAAGATACCAAACCATGAATCATCTATATGGAGTACCCTACTCTAAATAGAGAATAATAATGAAGTTCTTCCAACAACCATGTTTTCCTCTCTCCTCTTCAGAAACACCCCAAAGGAAAATGGCAGCAGGAAATCATTCCACAGTGACTGAGTTCATCCTCGCTGGGCTAACAGAACAGCCAGAACTCCAGCTGCCCCTCTTCCTTCTCTTCCTAGGAATCTATGTGGTCACGGTGGTGGGGAACCTGGGCATGATCACACTGATTGGGCTCAGTTCTCCCCTGCACACCCCCATGTACTATTTCCTTAGCAGCTTGTCCTTCATTGATCTCTGCCAGTCCACTGTCATTACCCCCAAAATGCTGGTGAATTTTGTGACAGAGAAGGACATCATTTCCTACCCTGAATGCATGACTCAGCTCTATTTCTTCCTTGTTTTTACTATCTCGGAATGTTACATGTTAGCTGCAATGGCATATGACCGCTATGTTGCCGTCTGTAGCCCTTTGCTTTATAATGTCATCATGTCCCATCAGGCTTGTTACTCTCTGATTTGGGGAGTGTGTATTATAGGCCTAGTTTGTGCATTTACTCATACAGGCTGCATGTTTAGGGTTCATTTCTGCAAATTTGGTGTGATCAACCATTATTTCTGTGATCTTCTTTCCCTCTTAAAACTCTCTTGTTCTAGTACCTATGTCAATGAATTACTGATTCTAATCTTTAGTGCAATTACTATCCTTGCCTCTAGCCTGACAATTCTTAGCTCCTACATCTTCATCATTAGCACCATCCTCCGTGTTCACTCCACTGAGGGCAGGTCCAAAGCCTTCAGCACTTGCAGCTCCCACATCTCAGCTGTCGCTGTTTTCTTTGGATCTGCTGCATTCATGTACCTGCAGCCATCTTCTGTGAGCTCCATGGACCAAGGCAAAGTGTCCTCTGTGTTTTATACTATCCTTGTGCCCATGCTGAATCCCCTGATCTATAGCCTGAGGAATAAAGATGTCAATGCTGCCCTGAAGAAAATTCTAGAGAGAAGAATATTCTTGTAATTAGAAATAATATGAGGATGATTTATTAGTCTAAGTCATTGGCTATTATAGTGTATGAATTGATATGTCTAATTTTAGTTCACCTGTCAACATATATCTTCAAAATATATATGTTGGATATACAGAAACATATATCCATACATTTAGTGGGATTATATTGACATTATTTCTTATTCCAAGGCCTTTTGATGCCATTTCTGTCTAGTTTTTTTCTCATAAATCTCATTGAGACTTGGATTAGAAGAAATACTAAGGATGATCTGGATACATGGACATGCTAATGCCATCACAATTACCTCCTGTCCTTTACTTCCATACGATTGATACATCCCTCAATCAATGAAAATATCTTCTAGCAGTGACTGCCAACCTCCTTTCTTCTATCCCATCAAAAACAACAAAAATCATACCAACATGGTGACTGTAATTTTGAGCTTTTGCACATCTCTAGTCTTTCTCACCCTATCCCACTCCACACCTTCTTTTTCTGAGTTATTTCCTTTATTTCTTGCTTAAGAAACCTAATCATAACTTTAAAATCCTAGTTACAGACGCAAGTATACGTTATTGTGCCCAATTCAATACCCCGCTGCTTTGATATCTATTATTCTATTTTGTAATGATCTGTTTACTCTCCAAATCCACACAGGACTGTAATCTCCAACAAGGTAGCCCCCTGTGCATTTGGTTCACTGCCATATCTCCAGGTAGCAGAATGCCTGCTGCCTGGTTGGTCCTTGATAATTTTGTTGATATTTATTTCCCCCTGTAAAATATTTATAAAAAAACCACTGTGTATCCTATGCAGTCTTCACCCATTAACCCCTTCAAGTGCTATATATGTTTTTTTGTTGTTGTTTAGTTCAAATCAATTAAGTGTAAGTTTGGAGAATTCTTTAAGGATCTGTAATATAACTGATAGCATTTTTAGTTGTTTCTATACAAGGATTAAGAAATTGTAGTCTTGAGTTCCTTCTGTGGCAAATCTTAACACAAATGTGGTAACTTGGGGATATCTGATTTTTTTAGTCATTAAATCCTGTCAACAACCAAGAAGTCCCTGAAGCAAATCTAATTTATTCCTGAATTCAAGTATGCAGCATCAGAGACTCAAAAATTTTTAATTAGATTTTAAGTCTAATGGGTCCATGTAGCAAATCATGTGGTAGAGTGATGTCTGGGGCCCAAACAACTCCATCTAGAGAATCTCATGCAGAGCAGAAAATAACTTCACCTACATTGGCATAGAAGACATACTGTTCTCTTTAAACTTAAGGAAAGAAGACATTAAATGATTAAATATAAAAGCCTTAGTTTCTGCTTCCAGTAGATATGTTTTACTCATCCTTTGGTTTTATTTTTGGTTTTTCAATATTTTAGTGAAAATGGTTAAGTTTCTCTGCTTGACTTCCAGTTTATGCAGACTGCTTTATCTATATGCCTATTCATAGTCTTCTAGTTATCCAATTTGTAGTTCATCCAAATCTTTAGCTGGAGGGAAGATAGGAGGAGCCACAGCTCTCAACAGCTGTCCCCTGGGAACTCTAAAAATGCTTAATACAGAACACTAAGCATACCAAGTAGATCTGGTCAAGAGTTACATCAATCATCAACCCTATTGTTCTGAGCCAACGAAATCCTAGTATGAATCCGTTTCTTCTGCTTGAGTTTGAGTTAAATGATTTCTCTAAGCTAAACCAAGCCATTGGCTTATTTGGTTTTATCAATGTACCTTGAGATAACCAATAAAATGTGCCAGAATCTGACCCAAAAAAATACACCTTTAAAGACTATAAGAACTTAAATGTCATTTCCTCAGAAAATTCATCTTTGAAACTCCAACTGAATTACTTTCTACATCATCCCTCTCCTCCAGTTCTCAGTTACTGTCTCCTTTTCTTCTTAACATTACAACTGCTAATGGTAGTTGTGTGCATTGAATATTTATTCTTTTAATGTCCATTTGCTGAATTGACTGAAGCTCTAATACGGCATAGAGTAGGCATTCAAATAGCAATAGTTGACAATTGTGTCAGACACCTCTGGTAACCCCCTCACATCCTCTGAAAGCTTCTCACTTCAGCTTCATATACATTTGTTACCTCTGTGCAAGTTCAAACTCAGTTTGCATTGACAGCATTCCATTTAAGTATGCACCATGATTTTCTTTTCATATTTTTAAAGTAATATTTTTTAGAACAGTTTTAAATTTATTGAAAATAACGAAGATAATAGAGTTCTCATTAACCTGTACCTATTATTAATGTCTTATATTAGTATGCTACATTTAATGTTACAATTAATAAACAATTATTGATACATTATTATTAAATAATGTCTATATTTATCCCTTAGTGTTTACCTGAGTTCCCTTGTTTGTTCCATGATCACATCCAGGATATCAAATTACATTTAGTCATCATGTCTCCTTAGGTTCCTCTTAGTTGTGACAGTTTCTCAGATTCTCCTTGCTTTTAATGACCTTGAGAGTTTTGAGGAAAACCAGTTAGGCATTTTGTAGAATGTCCCTTAATTGGGAATTTTCTGATGTCCTTCATATTGTTACATTTTGGTTATGGTATTTTGCAAGGAAGGCCCCAAAGATAAAGTGTCATTTTACTATACCATATCAAAGATACGTGCTGTCAACGTTCAAAATGACTTATTATCAGGCTGGCCCCATGGCATAGTGGTTAAGTGTACACGCTCCGCTGCTGGCGGCCTGGGTTCGGATCCCGGGCGTGCATTGACGCACCGATTGTCAGGCCAAGCTGCGGCGGCGTCCCATATAAAGTGGAGGAAGCTGGGCACAGTTGTTAGCTCAGGGCCAGTCTTCGTCAGGAAAAAGAGGAGGATTGGCATGGATGTTAGCTCAGGGCTGATCCTCCTCACAAAACAAAAACAAAATGACTTATTACTATTGATATTAATTATTTTCACCTGTTTGAGGTAGTCTTTGTCTGGTTTCTGCACTCAAAAGCTACTCTTTTTTTCCCTCTTTTATGTAATCTTGGGAAGGAAGTCACTATATGCAGCCCACACTTAAAGAGTGGGAAGTTATGTTCTAACTCATTCAGGAAGCAGCATCTACATGAATTATTTGGAATTATTCTTTGTGAGAGTTTTCTCTTTCCCCATTTAATTATATATCCAATCATTTCTTTATATTGTCTGTGTAAATCATGGATATTTACTTTTACTTAGGGTTATAATTCAATACTACTTTATTTTTTTTGCTCAAGTTGTTTTAGTATTGGTCGTTGGCAGCTCTTTCAATTGGCTCCTGTGTCCCTTTGACAAATGTCCATCAATCATCTATGTGATTTTTCTTATGATAACTTTCTGGTTTCCTAGCACTGCAAGATGCCCCAGGCTCATCTTATATACTTCCTTCCAAGTCCTAGAGTCAGCTACTTCTCCAAGGAGTCCTGCTTCTTTTTATTTGAGAATGGTCTTAGAAACAAAGATCTGGGTACTAGGTATTCTTCCTGCTACCATGGTGTCATTGCTTCTGTGACTCTCAGCTGACAGAGCAAGGAATTACATATATGCAGTTAATACATAATACATATATGTATCTGTGTTGATAATCATATCCATAAATATTTCTATATGTAATCATCTATATCTATATTAAGCTAAACATGATTTCATAGTTTATAACTCTATTCTATTACCATATGGATATTTCTAGCCGCTTCTCCTTGTTTACCTGTAAACTGCAACTCAAATAGTAAGAAATTGTCATGTATTTACGTAACTGTTCAATTCCCTTTATCTGTCATGCATTTACTTAACTGTTCAATTCCTGTATACGTCTATAGCAGTATCACAGCTGCTATCACGTACACCTGTGGGAATCAACGTTATCAACTAGAGTACGATGCTTGTGTACAGGTTTTTTTTTTGTTTTTTGGCTTTTAGTTTCCAAATTCAATTAGTTTAGCATCTTTTTCCACCGCCATCACTGAGATTGTTTGATACATTTGTAATGCATTTAGATTGTTCGTCACAGTTTGCATCCATCCTGAGTTGCTCAACCTGTTAAATGATTTTGTTCTTTAAATTTGCATACATTGAGGTTTACTCTTAGTGTTGCAAATTTTAGTGGTTTCTGTTAATGCATAGCATTGTGTATCCATCATTACAGTATCATATAGAATAATTTCACTGTCCTAAAAAATCTCCTGTGCTTCCCCTAGTCAATCCTTCCAAACCTTTGCCCACTACTGATCTATTTATTGTCTCTGTGGTTTTACCTTTACCACAATGTCACATATATACAGATTGTAGCCATTTCAAACCAGATTCTTTCATACAGCAATATACCTTTAAGATTCATCCATGTCTTGATATGGTTTGATAGCTCATTTCCTTATGTTCTTCAAATATTCCATTGTATAGATGTACCACCGTTTGTGTATCTATTTAGCTATTGGAGGTTATTTTGGTCGCTTCCAGTTTTTAATGATTATAAATAAAGCTGATACATTTATTTGCAGGATTTTGTGTGAGCATAAGTTTTCAATCAGTTGGATAAATACCTAAGAATACATTTGCTGGATCATATGGTAAGAAAATGCTTAGCTTTGTAAGAAACTGCTTAACTGTCTTCCAAAGTGGCTGTGCTGTTTTACATAACCAACGGCAATAAATGAGAACTCCTTCCTCTCCACGTCCTCATCAGCCATTGGCATTGTCAGGAAGTTTTTTGATTTTAGCCATTCTAATAGATGTGTAGAGGTATCTTGTTGTTTTTAGTTGAAGTTTCCCTAATAACAAATAATGTTGAGAATCTTTTCATATGCTTATAGACCATCTATGTATCTTCTTTCATTGTCTGTTCAGATCTGTTGTCTAAGTTTAGTAGGATTTTTTTTTTTTAATTTTAAGTGTTGTTTGTATAATTTGAATACAAGTCATTTTCAGATGTATGGGTTTTTTTCCAGTATTGTATTCACTGTTATGGTCTTTTGCCTTTCCATGTAAATTTTAAAATC